ACCCGACTCAATTTTGTACCAGTTTTATAGGCAGCTTCTCTCTCTCTCTCCCGACCGACCGACATGCTTACTTGATGTGATTCAGATTCCTGCCATTAAAAACTAAAAGTGGGTTCACATGTACAAAAAAAATTCTGGCCGTGCGGCGGAGCTAGGCAAGTTTTGCTCGCGGCTTTTGGTTTGGTGATAATAATCATAAGGTGAAATTTAGATGCCAAACTTTTCCTTTCCTCACTTTACATTTACTTTTAAGAATTTATACGCAATAAAGGAGATGCATATCAGGGCCAGAGGTGGTTGGTTGGTTGGTGAAGGAGCGAGACAATAAAATTTTGCTTCAGTCAACCCTTCCACTACTTTTCTCCGTCTCTCCGTCCGTACTTGATCTACGCCGTCCGTACTAACTAAAACTGAACGAAATAACGTTACGGGTCGCAGAAACAGTTTGCCAAGTCGGGCTTTTGTGGCCGTCTTCTCTCCTTCGCGTCGTATATGGTCGCACTTACCTCACCTCGCTTTCCTCTCGTAGCCTAACTTATTACTCTTTTAATAAGACTTGCTTTATTTCCCTCGTCTAAAATGGCCCCTTCGTGGTAACTGATTACACGCTGAATGTAAACTCTGTCAGATTTTTTTACGGGGACAAGTCATGTTTGTGTGTGTGCGCGCTGTTTGTGTGTGTGGATGTGGATACGAATAAAAATAGACTAGTGTGATTTTATCAACCAGAAGAAAAAGAGAGTCGAGATAATAATGAAAGTGAAAGTTGCCCTAAAATATAGGAAAATTCATAAAAAGATCTTATTAAACTTGTCCATTTCAGTTGAACTACTCCAACATACTACTTTCCATTTAATAACTTGCAGCAGTGGTTTGATGGTGGTTGGGTTGGCTTGGGTTCGTGGTGGTGGTGGTAGTTTTCTTTTTATAAAAAACGGTTTCAAATTAAGGAGAATTTTTGGGAAGGCAATTTGAAGATGAAATTGTCGCCAAGGAGCTAAATCTCTGACGAAATATTAAATTCCCTTTGGACTCAAATTAGAAAATATGTATTTAAATGAAAGGACGGTAACAGAGCTTATGCATTTCCTCCTGGGGTGAGAGAGAGAGAAAGAGAAAAGGTCTTTGCAAGAAGAAGTTTTTCTTCTCTCAAGTCAAAAGTTCCGCAGAAAAGTGAGGAGCTGTTATGCAGCCGCGGTCGGGCTGGTCGCCTTGCAGTGCTCATTTCATTAAATTTGATAAAAAGAATTCGGTCGGAACGGATAGTAAGTAATAGCGAGAATAGAATAACCCAGCATAATTTTAATTTTCGGGTGGAAACTTCCACCAAGAGAGAGAAAGAGCACATGGCATCTTAATGACAGCCAGCTACATTTTTTCCACCAAGCGAAATCAACGACAAGTTCAACTAAATTTGTTAATCAACCCTTCCAAAATATGGTTTACATTACATAATAAATTCGTACAATACTCAACCGACGCAGGGTTGCACGTCACTACTCGTGGAGTTATCAAGATTTTTTTTCCCTCCCGTTTGAACGAAATGGGCTGAATTGGACAATATGTTTGGGTGTAATTCAAGGCAATGGAGAAGAAAATGCCAGTTTTTCATTTTGTTGCGCACATAGCAGGTCTCGGAAGTAGGAGACAGGACGTCATGTCACGTGCATGAATAAGTGTGACTGCTTTCACTAATGCAATCAACATTTGAATAACATTTGAGCTTGGTCGGTTAGTTGTTGGAGCGATATGGGACTGAGAGAGAGAGGAGGAAATTGAATAACTGTTAGGCTCGCCATTTACATGACATTGCTATGATGGCATCCCGTACAGCGTGTAGTACAGGCCCACCCCCCTCAGCTTTCTCCTTCCATTAGCCCAATGTGTTGTGTTGATGTTTGTCAAGATTGAATTGAATTGAAAACCGTTTTTTCATTTCCATTCCATTTCATCTCCTTTCCAAGCTCAGCCACACCCGGGTCTCCCCACGATTTGCTGGATTTTGCTTACGTATGTACGTACGTATGTACGTACGTATTTCGTATGTGGAAGTGCGATCATAAAATGAGTGTCGTTGAAGAAAGTTGCGCACACAAGGGGTGAAACATGGTCTGGGATGAAATTCATGCAAATTTCATAATGAGTGATCCGTCTCTTGTTGACATTTGTCAGTCGGGGTGGTTAATTGATAGCATGTTGGTTGAAAGCAAAGACATGTTCACCGCCAACAGGAATCGCCTAATGCTGTGGGGAAGGAGGAGCTCGAGCTCATTAGCATTTTAAGGTACGGAAGAGGGGGAGATGATGATGAATGAAGTGGGGTGCACTATGTGTGGGCATGAAATGATCTCTGCCCTTCTTGGGCAAAGGATGATGATGATGGTGATGATGAAGCCCCTGCGGCCTAAGTCTCTCCTTTTCTGTTGATAAAAAGGAAATTGTGTGATTATTAGTGAACTGAAAAATGGGATATATGCTCGGAAAAGTCTGTTAATATGGGAATGACATGTGGGATTAAAATTGATTAAATTTCTTTGATTTCAGGTAAGCCAAACTGACTCAGACTGTTCGTCCATGAGGGCTGGACTACCCATTAACAAGTGATGCATTTGAAGTAAAAAGTTCCGCAATAAAACACGACCCCCAGTTTCACCCAAAGGTCACAATTTCTTGAAGGTATTATTTCCCATAAATTACGGACCGGCTCAACAGATGATATTCAGAATTGTCATGCACGCACACACGGGGCCGTTCGTATAATGAAATGAAATGAATCATTTCGGGGTGGTTGAGAGAGAACTATGCATGTTCCTCGTCGCCATTAATTACATAATGTTCTCTCCCATTGAATGAACTAACTTGGTTGGAAATGCGACTAGGAGTACTCGACATTAAAATGAAACCACACAATGTTCAAGAACATTCACTAACCAACAAATATCCGAGTTCATAATGTGACAGAGAAAACGTGTGTGAGTGGATTTTAGCGAATGTGTGGTGTGGTGGGTACACGGAGGGATAAGTGAAATCAGAATCCAACCAAACCCCAACTTACTTAATGCCCCGTGTATGCAGCTCGTTCATTCCTTCCTTGTTCTCTTTGACATTTAGAATTTAGATTGATTTTGACATGGCAAGTAATAAATTACGGGGCGATTCCATCTTACTTAGTGGAACGGGATGAGGAGGAGGAGAACAAAACGACACGCAATTCAATCAATCATTAATAATAAAATGTTTTATTTGTGTAAAGTCTCTAAAATTTGTACTCTTTGAGAAGAAACACAGTGGGCATTTTTCGGCCCGGATTAAAGTTTGGTCTCATGTTTGGGCATGTATATACTCTCCTGCATAAAAAAGTACGGTCACTCCACCAGAATTGATCAACTGTATATTTTAGCGCTTTATTAGTGGACATGCGATGCAACAGCGGAATGGTTAAGTAATGCCAATTTTGTTTGCCAGGAAGTTGTTGGAAATGAGGTTCTACGTAACACACATAATATTCAGTCGTGGAAGACCTTTTTCGCAGAAACTTGCAAATTGATACGAATGCAAGTCTATACCAATTTGCAAAGTATTGATTCATACATACAAATTGGTTTTACACCCCTAAAGTAAATTTCACAAAAAAAAGTAGTGAACAATGGGACAGTTGTACATTTTATTGCTACATGTTACCTAGTAATTTAATGTCATAAAGGGAGTCATTTTTATCGAATTGGCTTTGTATTGACTAGCTCTACTTAAAACTGAAACTATTCTAAGTAAAAGTGCTCAAATATTGTGCTCAATGTTGTGCTGGGCTCAAATAATATTGTGCTCAAATCGATGTCATGCACGTTCTTGGCACGTCTTTATTTTCTCCTTCACACTCGTAGTCGATGGGATGTCGAGCAATTATTTAAAATTCAATATTGACGGCGTCTCTATTGACTTAAGAGAAGAAACGAAATGTTGTGTGACTATGAAGATGATCATGCATGATAATGGAATAGTTGCTAGATTGGGAAGGAAATTGGCAATTCTGAGAACATATCACGCAGCGAGAAAGCGTCATGATAAGGGCGTAAAATCTGTCAGGAAAATTTTGAGCTTTTTCCTAAAATGCTATTTTCAAAAGTCATTCTCCCCCAAACGATATCAACTTTTCCTTCGCATACATATTCCAATCGTATTTATGTAATTTACTCTTTTCCTACGACTACTCCACCCTTTAAAATGTACAATATTTACTGATTCCCCGATTCAAAGTGGGTTGGACGGAGTGTGTGATAAAATATAATTACACAGGAGCCAACCTGAACTGCGACGTTGTATTAAATAAAATTAAACCTCTCTCTCCAAAATTGTAAATATTGATACTTTGCTAAAACGTTGCTTGTTTCGTTCCTATTCTAAAATTACCTGAATTATGGTATCACAATCCCATCAAACATTTAACAACCCTGCCATCCATATTCGTATTCGTATGATGGCTTACTTACTAAAATTGATATCTTTATTCTCTTCTCCTAACGAAGGACATACTAAAGCAAAATAGTAATCAGACTCCTTGTTACCAAAAAAATTGTCCACTTTCCCCATAATTTTCCCATCCAGACTAATTCCAATATTTAAAGCGTCATACCAACATGGTACAGAAAACTCTGTCCTGAAAATACATCCTGCATAATTGTTCCATACATTCAGCACTCATAGAATTGTTGGATAAATGTTATAATTTCCGACATTCTTGCATTACATCATCCACCTAGTCAGTCATGATAGCTGGCTGGCTGGCTTGTGTGTGCGGTGAGGTTTCGTTGAGGCGGATAGTTTTACGAGTTAAAAGTTTCAGTGGAAGAGAAGTCAAAAGCAAGGGAGCAAGTAGATGAAAAAGCTCTGGAGTCAAGTCGAGTGAGTTGAGTTGCGTCGAGTTTTACTGGCCAGAGGAGAAGAAATAGGCTGTCAAGTCGTCTCCCAAACTCTGTATAACCGGCATTGGAACCACGACTTTCGTCCAGTTTGCTCCAACGCTCCAAGCCATCAAGACACCACCACAATTCTCTCCTCGCCTCCTCTCAGCTCACTCGTTCGCTCTCTCAAGTTGAGAAAAAAATTGAACAAAAAACTTTAACTTTTTCGTCCCAAAATCGAATCTGGTTGGTTTTAAGCCAAATAACTTTTCCACATTTCCATCAATTTTTGTAAATACTGGAAAAGATGTTGAAGAGAAATCAAAATTGAGTGGAAATCTAATTTTTCAAGTCGATCCTACCAAAGAGAAACCTCGAGTATTGGGAAAGTCGTCCAAGTTGAGACGAAACTTTGTACATTGATATATACACGGAGAAATTCTCAACTTTCTTTAAAATCCGGTGTGCTCTGTTATGACTTTGAAATCGGTAAAATTATTCTTTTGATCTGTAAATTTGTTGAGAGTTTGTTATTCGGAATTATTTGTGGAAAATATTTAAGGAGGAGAAAAGCAAATTTTGATTTAGTGGTTTCTTTGTAGGGATAAGACTCGTGTTATTGGTGGACTAATGTCCACCGTATCGTCATGTTCTTACAACTGACTGTGTCGTCCTTACTTTTACTTGGGTGTAGTTTGTTCCCTTCTTTCCGTGTGGGAGGGGGTTAAAAAACACTGACATTGCAATTTGTACTCGTACGTGTGCCCGATGATCATGGTGACATCGCATCTAGTTGCAGACATAAATAACAAAATTAGAGTATCGGATAACGAACTAGTTAATTGCACTTTTAATGTCGTGAGTTATTAAACTGATGAATTTTTCGTGTGGAAATGTGAACATCTCTCCCACATACTTACGTAAGTAGCCTTTCCTCTCTGTAAAACTTGGTAATCCAGGAAATTTGTGTGCATACACGAACCCTTGAAAATTCCAAGGCGTTAGTAGAACACCTCGTCACAAGACTAAATACCCGATGGAAACATAATACCGGGTAAAATGTGAATGAGTGATATGTGTCCTCGCTGAATAAGACATAAGAATAATAAACAAGAAATTCTAGCTCCTCCATTATTATTATTCCTTTGTCGGGCGAATCTCCACCGAACAAACCACAACACACATACATACGCACCCGTAATTCCCTCTTCTTTATTGGATTTGTCGTGTGCATATACTGCCAAGTAAGTGAGTGGTGTCGTCTTCTTGTCTTCTACTACTTGTGGTTTGTCATTTGTTGGTGATAACATCTTCACTTGGAAAATAACCTAAAGAAAAACTTGTTGGGAATCTTCAACACAAAAGCGTCGGTAAGTTAATTACGAAATACTTGTTGTTACTCATGCACACAGAGGAACTGCATATTTCTGAGGTTTCTCACTCTATCCATATATGAAACATGACCTTTATACAGAACCCTAATTTTTGGTTAGTCAGGGAACCTACGTACATACATATTTTCTGAACAAACTGACGACCAAAAAAATATCAATATGGGGATAATATCGCATGGATATGTCAATGTGTGTGTGCCTTACTTGTTGGCAGTCTCTATTTTATTCCACCTCAAGAAAACGTACGTATCCACAAAGGTTTTCTCAGGCAGGACTCTGACTTTTAACTGGACAAACAAAAAGCAGTAACTCAATTTCGACGGTGTGTGGTTGTGTTGGTATGTTATGTTTTGTCACAGTGGGAGGTGCACAATAGCTGCGGCGGCTGATAACACGCCAAAATGTGATATTGTCACCAACCATGCAGGCAGTGAGGCCCAGGACGTATTTATGACATACCTACCCAAACCCACGACCCAGATGAAATGGAAAGAGAAAGAAAGGCGTAAAAAGGGCTGCCAACTGCTTTGTTGGCTATATGTATTCAGTAAGCGGATAGTTTCATTACCTTTTCTGCAGTGTCTTGGCTTTGATGCAGAATATATTTATGTGCACATTGTGGCTGCATATGGGACCTCGCGAAATCGCCCGTTGTCTGCAAATCTTAAAGTATTTCTATGCATGCAAACAAGAGAATGATGGGCGTTATCAACACCTGAAAGCCTTTCGAGAAAGACGAATGAAAAGGGCATCAAAATGACAGAGGAGAGTGACACGGAGTAAAAAGAATTCAAGAAAATGTTGAAACTAACGTGTCGTTCGTCTCGAGGAATATTGAAATAGCACAAAACAATCACCACCTCCAGGCTCCCCATACAATGTTTTGGGTACAATAAATTAATAAAAATACCTTAAAAATTTCACTCTTAGAAATGCAACCAATACTTTTTACGGAGGTGGTGGACAAAGACCAAGTACGTAGGTAGACAGACAGTTGGTCGGTATTGTGCCCGTACTGCGATGGGTATAATATGACGAGTCATGAGATTTGTAGGTACCAGGGACGGACGGTGTGGAGTCTTTTGTTGAGAAATAGGAAATAGTAGTAGTAGTTTCATTATAGACGAGAGCCTCGTCCATGCACCTTTCTGCCAGACAGTGTCAATTTATTGCAGCCATAACTCTGTCTATAAATGAGATGTCATTCATGTTCTTGCCTCCACAATGGGAAATGATACTGTCAATTGAGAAGACCCCCTTATTTCCTCAAACAAAATATATTTTACTTGTTGTGTTAATAACAAGAAGTATAAGACTTTCAACACCTTGGACACTTATTACTCGTCTGGTGGCTGGTAATAAGGAGGTATAAGCGACAATCTTTTTATGACGATATATTTTAGACTCTTGCTTCTTAAAACGTAATTTGTTTACTTTTACTTACTTGAAACAACAATGGATTTAAGAGGTGCTATATTTTTCGAGAGGGAAAATGCAATAAAACTTTTTTTCATGGTGAGAATGTCCAGCCATTTTCAGCTCAATGCAGACATTGTTTTAAAACGTGGTACTTACCCGATTACAATCATATTTAGTGCTGTGTATAGCTCCAAATAGTTTAAATTAAGTCAAGGACTTGTAAGATAGGAGATCGGTCTGGAGAGATTGCAAATTGCTCAGAATTTTGCACGTCTTTACTTTTTGGTTTGATACGGGACTTAACCAAATGTGATAGTCTGATTAGGCTGAATTGTTGAACAGGAGGGGTGATGATGTTTCAAATGGGCATAGTTGGGTATGGTCTCTGGTCGAAATATGCCCATATTTATTTCTAGCTTCCCTTATGCGGCTGTTTACTCGATTTTATGTACTTTGCAATGCATGCAGTTATGGTATAGCTGTGAAATTATGGATCCGAGCAAAGAAACGGACTATATATAGACCACTTTATCCTAAATCTGGACTTACCCACCAGCCAAATCCAAACGTGTGTGTGCAAGAAGAGGGGATACAACAAAGACCGAGAACAGTGATAAATTATTGACATTTTCATTCACCGTGGCGAAAATCAAAGCGTTTCATGTATCTCAACCAATTTGTACGTTCGATGACCACACGGGCTTAATTCATCCCATTTTCTTTATGACGTATTTGGTCTGGTTTCCTTATCAGGGATAATTCGCATTCAGTAAGGAGATCTAGCATTTTGGGGGTTCTGAGCTATGTAAGTAGTTCAACCGAGAAGGAAGGGACCTTTACCTTGCACTTTCAGATTTTGATGCCCTTTGGGTACGTTGTAGTACTCAATGAGCCCACTAAAACCCTGAAGTTGTTATATTCCATGGTCAAATTTGCGCTGGCTGCACCCTCTCAAAGCAGCCAAAATCACGAATATGTATCACCATTTTCAGGCTCGCCAAAAATCCACTTCGGATTTTGAAAATTCTTGCATCATCTTGCTCCCAGACAGTTTTTAATTTGACTCTTATGAATTTTTAAAATTTTTCAAAAATTTCCTGTCTTCTAAAATATCAAAATTTCAAACAAGTTGAGTTTGATGATAGGTATGTTAAGGAAACAATCTGGACCACAACTATGAAAGAATTTTAAAAATTCGAGGAAATATGAATTTTTGGTTAAGGTTTAAACGAGCAAATACAGGCCTTTAAACAACATATCCAAAGGGCATCAAAATCTGGGAGTGAAAGGTAGAGGTCCACTCCTCCTGAGATAAGATGGGCGGTGGCAGGACAACTGCTTTTATCAGCAAGTTGGTTATTTTGGGAAATTTGTAACATTTTGCTTTCTCATCATCTCCTCCAAGTCGTTTGGAGAAGGAGATCGAAGGAATAAGAAGATTCTCCAGTTGAGTTCGACACACTGACAAATTCAGTGCAGAGAGTAAATTCCCTCATGATTTAAATGCTCCCAGTGCACCGTTCCACCCCACTTCTCAAAGCATATCGAAAGGAACGACGTACCACATAACATCAAAATTCAGGAAAATAGATCCAGACCCGTGTAAAAATCAATGGGACACGTACCAAAGCAACCAACTTTTCTTAAAACAAATTGGCAACTTTCTCCAGAAAAAATAAACTTGAGCAGACTAGGTACATGCTTATCATGCTAAGATAAAGTACATATAAATGTACGGCATGTGGTGTGAATGTGACAGAAGACAATAAAATAAAACGTTGTCGAAAAAAGGAGCAACGAAGAGGTGAAACTCACTATTCGCATTTTATTACCGTTTGATTTTGTCAATTTTTCTCCAAATGGAGCAAATCTCGCCCCTTTCAATCCCAGCTCAAAATAGATTTTCCATTCTTCCACCCGTTTTTTCTTCAAGCTGGAGGAGATAAAGTAAAGCAAACCAAGTGATGCACACACTCGTCTAAACATGGCAGATACGAAATGGATATGGATGTCTTGTGGCGTTGAATTGGAAAGGATTTGAATCTCTTTGAACAAGAAGAAGATGGAGGTCATGCATAAAATTTGAGAGCGATTTATTCAAAAGCACATATCTAACAGAGGGGAAAATGTTAATTTCACGAATATTTAAGACTTTGTCCCATTTTCCAAGTAAAAAGTGGTATATGAAACAGTGTGAAGGAGCCAGAAGGAGAGAGAGAGAGAGAGCAGAGTCTAAATTGAAAACAAAATCCGATATCCATGTATCACTCACCCACCCTTCGTCTTCGTACTCCTCTTGTCTTGTCTCAATACTCGAACAAGCCACGTTTTCTGAGAGTTTGTTTTGGAACGAGTGCATACATACTTGCTCGTGGAAATAAGACATGAAAGGCAGACGTATTAGTGAGTAAGTATTCAAGTGTATGTATGTATGAGCAAAAATACGCGTCCACAGATTTATACACTTGCCACAAGGTATCAACCACAGAAGTGTAAGAGAGCAGAAGACAGGGCGAAGACGAAGAAATGCACCACTTTTGTTTCATTTTTTATCTACGCCAGATTTGTCATTCTTCTTCTCCTTTCTTCTAATGCGAGTATTTTTACAGCGGCTTTAATGGAATTCCTACTAATGACGCGTATCAACTTTACGTTTGCGAAAATTACGACAAGGAGAGAAGAAGAACTGTTTTTTGCTTTGTGGAACGTTAGACGGAAAAAGTAATCCCGGCACAAGTTTATCGGTGTGATCTGAACGAAGACGTTCCATTGCTCCACACACACAAGACACACACAAAGACAGACACCCACACGAGAAGGGGAGAGAGACGGCTAAAAAGTAACTAAAAGAAGGAAAGAAACAAGTTGGTGAAAGTGTGTTTATTGTTTCTTCTCAAGATCAAGTAGAGATTTGTGCGAATTGTTCAACTCCACTCCTTCGTCCACTTGGAGAAAGTGGAAAAAGAGGAAGTGAAAGCAGTAAAGCAAAAAGTCGACATGGTATAATAGCACCGTAGTTGAGGAGGAGGAGGACGAAAAACAAGACGAAATTCTCCTTTACCGTGCACACTTATTTAATTTGCTAAGGGTAGATTTAAACCAACGCAGTACATACAAGACAGCTATCAAAAGAGATGAAAATGCGAATTTGCAAAATTAAATTGAAAATTAATAAAATCCTTGCTAATATAATTTTCCAAATATTTAAAAGTGATAAAGTAGCCTGGGAGTAAACCCATTATGAACATGGGATACGAATTTCACTTATCATGCAGCACATCTTCCAGATTTGAGAAGCCTTATCCTTGTCCTACATCTGATTTACATCCCATCCTCCCGTTTACTACTCCCACGACCGCTGCTCCTGCTGCTGCTGCGACTTTGCTGAACCCAAATTTACATGAGTAGTTCAATGGGCGAGACAAGCAAGGTGGTTAAGTGGAGTGGTTGATCCTGATTTGAGGCTTAGTCTTAGGATTAGTCATAAGAGATAGAACACTTGCTTCGTGCCCTGAATGAATGTCAAATCACATCTCACTCCTTCCTCCGGATAATGC